ATGTAATATGTAATAAGTACCAAAATAATATCAAGAAAGGAGCAGACAGGCTACACTTTGAAAATCAAGTTTTGGTGGCAAAGTGGGTGGTCTTACTGGGTGGGACAGTGACACCATTATGTCATTAAGTAAGACTAAGATTTTTAGATTTGCTTTTGAAGGGTTGTTTTATTGGGGTGGCTTACGTCTGAAAGGTTTCCATGCCTCCTTTTTTTGTTGTTGAAAAATGGTAGGCAATCTCACCTCCCTTTTATTTATTTTTGTCATTTATATATTTTCTTTTTGCCTATAAGGTATTCAGTTTGACAGGAATTGCATGTTGCCCACCCCAAAAGAAGGAGAACGCTCTTGCTAAGCATGCCTCAAAGAGTTTTCAATTTAATGCAGTCATAAGTTACAAGTCATATATCCTAAAGATCCCTTCCTGCAGTTCATTGGCTAGGAGCCATTTATCTTTATCCTATCATTGATTCCATTGATTGCTTGGATCTATGAAAATAAAAGTTAACTGTTCCTAAGGTCCTTACCTTAATTCCCACCTAAACGTCTTTGTTTCTTGGACTGACTTTTCCACTGTATTTGTACAACCACTTTTATAACCACCTTCAAGGCTTTCCTGAAGACAAATGCCTAATTTACATTGCCCCTCCTAATTCTGTGTTCCTGCCAACATCAGACTTAAACTATCTTTGTGTGTGTCTGTCCTCAGATAAGAATAGTCTGTGTTCTATGTTTGGAAGAGCACTTATCATACTTTTGGCTCTGTTCTGTGAGGAGGAATGGATGGCTACTGTGATAAAACTAGTCTGATTGTGTTTTGTTTGTCCTGGAAGGAGCAGTAAGCAGTAGCTTGTTATCTAACAGGCTCTGTAGCCAGGGTGGGAAGCCCTCGGTGGAAGAGAGTGTTCTGGGGGAAAAAAAAACAGATTTAATCAGAGCTTATCAAGGTAGTATTAAAAGAGACCAGCCTTAAGCTGGGCTTGTTATGTGCTGTTAAGAATGTTTAAGCATTGTGAAAATTAAGATAGAGCACAGAATAAATATCACAATAAAGTCAGCATTATCCCAAATCCATGACTCATCCTGTACCATTTACATGTTTATTTCTGTATCTCCACAAGAAATTGAACAGACCCTGTTAGCAGTTGCATGATCTTATATTTTCCTTTGCAAATTAATTTCTTTTCTGTTTGACTAAGAGAAGTATATGTGTAACTTGATTTAATCTCTCTCCCTACATTTGTAATATCGTGTAATCACAACAAATGAAGGAAGACAGGGCTTTACAACTCTTCTTGGAGAGAACAGGCAGTATACCTTAACAAAGTAGTTTTAATTGGTAGCAGTGAATTGGAAAGAAATATTATTAATTTTCTTGAAATTGGCATCCCAAAAATACAAATTCCTTGGAGTACCTGTTTATTTTTTTCATATATTTTATTGCATCAAACTAATAGGTATACATGGTATATCTATTAATACTGTTAAGGTATTAACTGTGTAATATAATATCAAAATGATTTAAAAACAAATGAGAAAGAAGGGGGAAATAGCCTGGAAAATTATATTGTAAACAAAATAATTCCAACAAAATTGGCCAAATTACTCAAAAAGTCCTCTTTCTTGCTACTTTGTCTAAATAAAGAAATAAATAAAATGAATAAAAAGAAAAACTGAAATAAAAAATTCCATTCCTGTAGAACAGATATATAGAGTATACCAAAAGTCAGGCCTCATAGACAATTTATTATGTAAATTAATTAAATGTTCAAATTGGTTGCCATTTTCTTCTAAATTCTTTCTTTCTTGTTTGACCCATGACTTTTGAACATTCCTAAGTACAGTAACTTTTTCTGTGAAAAAAAATAAAATAAAACATAAAGTGATTGGTCTGTGGTGGCTGACTTTTGGTACACCCTGTACATGTCTCCTATTATTATATAATAATTATTTTGACCAAGCATGAAATCTCAGTGGGTGGCAGCATCTATCTGATCTTGGCTGATCTCAGAAGCTAAACTGGGTTAGGTCTGATTAATACTTAGATGAGGAGACTACAGGGGAATTCTGTCACTGTTGGCTAGACTAGGAAATCAGAAACAATGGCAAGCCAGTTCCCTTTTGTTGCCAAGAACAGATACTGTTACCAAGAACTGACCTTGATTTGAAGGCCTCTTTACACAATCCAAAGTCAAGTTAACAATTATTTAAGCCCGAATTATGGCAATAATGTATAAATCCTATGAGTTAATGTTTATTAAACAGTAAACACCCATTCACTGCAGATGTTAAGGTAGAGCCTCCTGGACGATGGCTCACTCCTTATGAACCTTGCTCCCAGATCTATGTATTGTACTTATTTTATTAAATTCTGCAATGTACCTTGGCTTTGTATGATTAAAAGCAGCATAAATATATTTTATATAAAAATTTTAGTGGTAATAATACTTAACAAATTGATACCAATCCCTTTGAATATAAAATGCAAAGTTCTTACATATTCCTTTTCCTCCAAGGAGCAAAGAGCAGTTTACATATGATTTCCAGGCAGTTTACACTTTCCAACAATTTCAGAGAGCCAATTCTAGTTAACCTTACTGTAACATTTTCTTAATTCAGTGTTTATATTTCCTTTCACTCTGGTTTGGGCCTTGGAGGAAGCAGATTATCTGGATCATTTTCAGTCAAGATTCAGACCCAGGTATGGGATGGAAATGGCATCGGTTACGCTTTTGGATGATCTCTGGCATGGGCGGGATGGGGGCTGTGCAGCCATCCTGGCCCTACTTGACCTCTCAGCGGCTTTCAATATCATTGACCATGGTATCCTTCTGGATCAGCTTAGAGTAGTGGGGATGGGTGGCACGGTGTTGTGCTGGTTCACCTCCTTTCTCCAGGGTCAATTCCAGATGGTGGTGATCGGGGAGGAGAGGCCCCACCCTCGGCCCCTACTGTGTGGGGTACCGCAGGGGTCGGTGCTCTCTCCGCTCCTCTTTAACGTCTATATGAGGCCGCTGGGTGAGCTCATCTGTTGCCATGGGGTGAGGAATCATCAGTATGCTGATGATACTCTACTATACATCTCTTGCCTCTTGCAAATTAAGTGATGTGTGGATGCTTTATCCCGGTGCCTGGAGGCTGTGAGGATCTGGATGGGAAACAACAGGCTTCAGCTGATCCCTAGCAAGATGGAGTGGCTCTGGGTTTTGGGTCCTACTGGTTCTAGGACTAGACCATCTTTGGGATGGATGGTATAGATGTGGCACTACCCCAGAAAGACTCAGTGTGCAATTTGGGGGTCCTCCTGGACTCAGGACTCCTGCTCAAAGAGCAGGTGACAGTCATGGCTAGGAGGACCTTTGCACAGCTTCATGTTGTGCACCAGTTGCGCCCGTTCCTGGATCAGGAAGCTCTACTCACAGTCACTCATGCCTTAGTCACCTTCAGATCAGATTACTGTAATGCACTCTACATGGGGCTGCCCTTGAAGAGTATCCAGAAGCTTCAACTGACACAGAATGCAGTGACGTGGGGAATTATGTGTGCCCCTAGATCAGCATGTGTCACACCTCTCCTCCATGAGCTGCATTGGCTGCCAGTTTATTTCCAGGTCCAATTCAATGCTGTTTTTGACCTTTAAAGCCCTTCATGGCATGGTTATCTGAGGGACCACCTCTCCCCGATTACATCAGCTCATCCCATTAGATCTGGCAGAGAGGGTACACTACATGTTCCATCTGCGGGGGACCTACATTTGATGGGTCCCAGGAGACAGGCTTCCTCTGCTGTGGCGTCTGCTTATGGAACATTCTTCCCCACAAAGTTAGGTTAGCTCCCTGTTAATGTTCAGGAAGGCCCTCAAGACCTGGTTGAGGCTTGGGGGTCCCAGGAAACCTGCAAAATTTTAAGATGGCTCTCCTATTGTGGGTGATATGTGGTAGTTATAGTTCTCTCTCTCTCCTAATTTTTTAATGATTTTTTAAAAAAATTAATACGACTGTTTATATTTTTATGATGAGTGTTTTATAATGATTGTTTTTATATTGTGGCTTTATTTGATTGTTGTACATCACCCAGAGTCACTTCTGGTTAGATGGGCAGCTATATAAATTTGATTAATAAATAAATAATAGATAAATAAAATTCATACATGTAAATGTACCCTTGAAACATTCACTTACTTGTGTTTATTGGGTTTTGCTGCCTGTTTGTTTTTGCTGCACATGCATATGACTTAGAAGCCTAATACAGACAAATGGCATTGGATTTGACTCTAGAACTTAGTTGATGATATGAAAAACTTAGACTATCTTTGTACTCTCTACTAAAAAAGTCTCACATTTCTTAATGTGAGTATGCTGGGAGGTCTCTCCCTCTCCCTCTCCCTCTCCCTCTCCCTCTCCCTCATGAATAGTTTCTGTTAAAGGGGAAATTCCTCATAATTCACTGATTTTAGCAATGCCAGGCCTAAAGAAATGGGCAAGCAAAGGTTGTTATTGTCCAAAGAATAATGCAGTTTATCTTTAAATGAATAATCACCAAAATATGACTGAATCTTAATGTACTGACATTTCACTATATACAGGCAAAGGACATGAATGTCTTTTGTTTAAGCTGAAGTGAAGAATCTTATAACATAGTGAGTCACTGGAAGTGTTTCATTCAGATTAACTAAGATACTGCAAGTTTTGTATAGCTATAGTCCCAGGAAAGAAATTGTATTGGTTGAAAGACTGCTGGATTTCACAAGTGAATGTGATTAGGTCAGCGCTAGCTGTTCATTTGCTATGTGTCCTTGAAAAGATGGGTATCAGAATATACATTTATTTAAATGGTATAAAAAAGGGACTTTCATGATTCTCTTAGCAGAAACACAAATCTCTGTTGTAAATAGGAAGTTGCAATTTGTAAATTTGTATTAAGAACCATACTGCAAAACTCTGATGCTGGAATAACCATAAAGAAATAATATCATTGTCTTTTGTGTTTTCTTTTGACAGGTCCTTGACCAGTATGAAAGAGAAGGCTTTAATTTCCTAGCAAAGGTTTTTAATTCTTCCCATTCTTTCTTAGAAGATCTCACAGGTCTGACTTTATTACATCAGGAGACCCAAGCGGCTGAGGTAAGGTATTTCAAGTATAAACAAAAGAAAGTAAGAGTAAAAATTACTGTTCACTAATTAGTAATAGCTGGATCTTTTGGAAGATTACTACTGATTAATATTTTCATATAACTTGCATGAATCAGATTCATGCAGCAGTTAGAGTTCATTCTTCCTTAAAATTATATCAGATTATTTAAATCATATGTCCACACCCCCCAGTGGGTCAAGTTAAACAGCAAACAGTTTCTCTTTAATTCTATATATATATGGGAGTGATCTATCCACATGGTTACTAGGAGTTGGAAACGACTTGATGGCACATATTCAATCAATCAATTAATATGGGAGTGAATATAAGGTATGATTGAAGGAACAATTTGCCAATTATTTTCCTGGTGCTATTATTATCATAAAATGTTGCATTTTAATTATTAACAAGTATCAGTGATTGCTATATGATAAAACGGCATTGTATTTTTTGTGTTTTCAGTTTTGCATATGCTAGCTTACATTATCTTTAGCAACTGAGAATATGTCACCAATCCTATTTAAATTTATTAGCCACCCAACTCCAATGGTCTCTGTGTGATACAACTCTATAAACACATAAACTGAATTACACTGTGTCTTCATAGCATGCCTACTGTCTTTTCATCTGTGGCTATCAATGTACATAGCGCAATGTTGTTGTCAAGCTTCCAGAGAATAATAGATACGTGATGGAGGCATCTGCTGTTTTTGTGGGGAAAACACAAATTTTCATTTATTCATCTCAAAAGCATCATACTATCTGTGTGTGTGTGTGTGTGTGTGTGTGTGTGTGCTGCATGTGCATGCATATGCACATTTCCATGCATTCCAAGTACCCAGTATAAGTAATATCTTCAGCTAATGTGGCACACTCAATGTTTCCTTTACATAATCAAGGTGTATCCTAAATGCATTATCTTTATAATATCTATGTAAGCAAAAAATTCCGTGTCATATAGTATGTTACCCTTCTTTACTGACTGGATAATTGATAGATCAAATGTATTGTTCTTTACGAAGTTATTAAATATGATTGCATAAAAGATTACTATCTAGCCTGTATTCTTTGTGGATGACCCCATTTTTTACCTTAAATTGTCATGCAGGAGTATACTGATTCAACTCTTGATATATTTGTTTTCAGTCAATGAAAACATATGCATATTCTGTACCTTCTGGGGATATCCCCAGAAACATTCCAAGGTAGTTTGGAAGATGCTGTGTTTCCCTGGCTTCTTTCCACCATGTGGCACAAGAGTACAGCCAATGTTGATTAATTTAGGCCATGATTCAATGACTCTCTGATGCTAGGGAAAAATGGAGGTACACTGTTTCTTTCATCCCCTTCTCATGAAGTTACCAAAAGCATATGGCTGACAGATATTGGAAACTGATAGCTGTTAGTATGTCCACTAACCACTGGGCCAAGATGCTGGATGAGTTGGTGTTTGTAATGGTTGGAATATTGAATGATTATGGATTGGCCTTAGTTTACACTATGTTCTCTTCTTTCCTGTTCTTCACCTTTTTAGTCCTGTTTTTGGTTTTAGCCATTCAGAGTCACAATTTGCAAACTGGGCAGCCATATAAATCAAGTAAAGCAATAATATCAAGTACATCTAGAGCATCACTTTTCAGTTCTTATCTGAATGCTGTATTCAATTAGCTCAAGTACCTGGTACTTCTTGGAGCAATTTTTTTTTAGGGCTCACAGGATTCAGGAATCCCAACATCTGTCTAAAGTTATCAGGTCCTAATTTCAGCTCTGAGTAGGGTTTGCAAAGTTTCTTACAGTTTATTATTAGAGCCTGAATGTGGCCTTGGTATGGACCAAAATAAATTATACTTTCTCTTTTTCTGATCTGTTTTAGTAAAGCTATTTTCACAGAGGTTTCACATTTCTGTTACAGGAAATTGGTTTGGAGTAAAGACCAGAGAGCCATTATTAGAGTGCAATTTTTCTCTTCAAAACATGGGTAACTGCTGCTTTTTTTCCACAGTCTTATGACTCATGAACTGCCTGGCTGTTTAGTTATAAAGTCTGTCCTGTAAGAAGCATTGCCTTCTCTGAAAGAGCATCTGTCTTTTTGTTCATCTGTATGTGAGGGAGATCCTGAAATCAGTTCCATTGAAAAATAGTAGTACAACGCTATAGTTAGTTTAAATGGTTAAGATCAAACTAAATCTAGTAGGAGTTAGGCACCAGATAATACTGAATAGCTGTATCCTGTATGTCTGCTGTTTTGTTCTTTCTTTTTTTTTCCCTTTGCCTTCGAGTCAGTCTTGACTCCTGGCAACTACACAGACAAGGCCACAGACTTTTCTTGGCAGCATTTTTGGAAGTGGTTTGCCCTTGCCTCCTTCTTAGGTTGGGAGAAAGTGACTAGCCCAAAGTTACCCAGCTGGCTTTCATGCCTAGGGAGGAACTAGAACTCAGGGTTTCCCTCTGCTAGACTAAACTGTCTCTCTTACCCTGTTACCAAATCACCATCAACATTGTGACAGACATGGCCTTGTAATCTTAGAAATGGGATAGATGCGATCAACATTTGATTGTCTGATCATGGAACTTCTTGTGCATAAAGATGACAGTTTCTCACTATTTGTCATCATCATCCAGCAGTATCATAATGATACTATTTGTATCATTTTTTTGTTTTGTTTATTGAATTTATGTTCTGCCTTTCTTCAGGAGAGCAACAATAAAGACAGCAATTTATAATAACAAGCATTTCCAACAATAAAAGTATGAAATATAAAACAGAACAAAATTAATACAGTTAAAATCAAAGCCAAAATTAAAAGCAGTTGTTAAGATAATTAAGAGTTAAAAGTTTGGTGAAAGAATTTTTACCAACTCTTGTGGGAGTCGAATGCATCTCCATAGCCTTGGGAACCACACAGAAGAATGCCATTTCCCATATTCCCAAGAATCAGCTGGTTGAAAATGAGACTAATGGAGCTAATGAGAAATAAAAGAGAGGATATAACAGTCAAGGTTTGCAGAAGAATGAAACGTCTTTTTAAAAATCCAGAGGGTAAGACCCAACCCCCAAAGAGAACAGAGCACATTCAAAAGTCACAGAATGTTGCTAGAGAATTCTTTAAAACTTTTTTTAATGGCTTTATAAAACAAGAGTTGTTGGGGAAAGTGCCACATCAGCTGCTAAGATTTTTACTCTGTACAAACATTTTCCTGTTGCTGAGCTGATCTATTCCAGGAATTATGTTCAATATACATCAGGCTTTACATTAAGCATTAGTAAATATTGTAACAATCTCTGGTTAATATGCTGAGATTGGCTGAGACCACCTAATTAAACAAAAATCACCAGGTGTGAATTATACAGTCTAAATGTTGAAGCTCAGTATCATAAAAGTAGTGATTAATTATGTATGAGGTGCCAGTCAGTGCTGTTATTTATAGTTGGGCTGTCATAAGTTGTCCCAAATTTAGGTAATCCAAATTCTGTGTCCTTCTGATATTGTACCTAGGGCCCCAGTAAATAATTGATACCATAGTCAACAATTTCTTCCATATTTTTGGAACCATGGTTTCCATGGTTCTTTTCAGTGACAGTAGTGTCTGGTGTATTATGTTCCAGGTATCGATCAGTCTGAATTTTAAAATCCCATAAAATTTTTGCTCTGTCATTTTCAGTGACTCTATCTGTGATTTCATGTTTCTAGTAATTCATACTGACTTTAAATCATATTTTTACATAAATGTCAGAGTAATATCTTCCCAACATAATCATGCCATTATTATTATAATTGAGAAATATTTGGTTCCTCCCCCCCCCCGTATTTTGCAACACAATCTAAAAGAGGCTTACTGTAATTTGACTACTGCTAATATCTTAATTTCACTCTCCTATATTGCCAGTACCCCTCCACCCATTCTCAGCATCTGTTGTTTTTCAAGTGAACACTTTTCTACTTGGATTATATATTTAGAGCTGCAGATCATTTTCATATGATTACAAAGGTAAATATTATCAAGTATAACATATTTCCTGGGAAAGCTGAACTATCAGAAAGAGTGAACAAAAGAAAATGGATCCGTTTGAATTGTGGGGCTGGGGAAAACTGAGAATTCCTTGGACTGGAAGAACAAATAATTGAGTACTAGATGAAGTGAAGCCCGGCTGCTCTTTGGAAGCATTAATAATGAAGTTAAAGCTTAGATATTTTGGACAAATAACAAGAAGGCAGCAGTCATGATGAACAAGGAGAGGAACCTGATGCATGGAAAAAATGAGGCAATTGAAAAAGAGACTGATAGAAGACAAGATGGATAGATGCTGTTTCTGATGATACAAGCACAACCTTATAAGAACTCAAAGAAGCAATTACTGATGGACAGTCATGGTGAAATTATATTCATTGGGTCACTGAAGAGTCAGAAGTGCCTGAAAACAAAAATTAGTTCAGTAAGAATGTAAGATTTCTCAAAACCTATGAACAAGATTTGTGACAAAAGTATTATGGAATTCTATGGTCAAAAGTTCCTAATTTTCTGCTTGTGAGCAGATTATTACTTTAAGGGTTCCATGAATGTTATATCACAAAACATTTGACCTAGCATCCCAGGGCAGAAAATGGCTGCTCTATGGATGTAAATAATCACAGTATTTACTACTTCAACTAAACATATGTTTCATGGAAGGTTTCAAAGGCACATATGTTACCAGAAACCTGTCTTTTCTCATAGGCTGCAAGACATTAGAGAAGCCTGGCTACAGGCAAGTTAACAGCTCCAAGGGAGCCAACAATTCACCAGTCAATTAAAACCAGAGTCAGAAACTAGGCCAGATTTCACACACAAAGTTCAGGCTAGAGTCAGATTATCAGAGTCTAAGGCCATATTCCTGCCTGCACTTGGGACTCAGAACCAATGCCCCAAAAGCCTTGGGAGAACTGAAACCGATTAGCCAAAGTTGGCAGGGAAAGACTAGATAGAAGGATCCATTTTGCTCAATGTGGTT